ATACAAAAAGATAAAAGATTACTCTGTAGGAAAGATCCAAAATACTAGCATAGTCATAGTATTATGAAATGTATTGTCGTAAACCTACAAAACTGGTATGTAGTGAGAGATTGTCATGATTCCCTATATTCTTGTGGGTGCGGGATGGTTACCTTCACAACAGGATGTACCCTTCTACTCTCATTGAAGACTTAAATAAGGTGCTGACTTACTTTGTGCAAGAAAAAGAAAAAAAAAAAAAGAATTAAATAATTATTAGGTAAGAAAAGAATCCCTGCTTCCCAAAATGTATTTTGAGCACAAAACCTTTGCTTAATATTATGTGCTGCCTAATGTGTTGTTTATGATGTTGTGAGAATTAGGTTTATATCATAGTCTCAGATTTCATTTGTTGGATTTATTATTGTTATTATTATGATTATTATCATTATGATTATTATTATTAACATAGTTAAATTTATAATTTCTGTGCAGTTGTCCCAAGTGAACCACCACACATTCCGTGAACTAAAAGATCCACATTTAAATATTCATTTTTGTAGTTTAAGTTAGCCACACTCTGTCATAACGGACCAAACCCAGCTGCCATTAATTGTATTCTTTTTCACTTCATACGTACTTAGGACAAGAACCATAATCCCTTGTGAGCAAGGCAGCTGGACTCAGTTGACTGTTCTGCTTTCCACTGCCTCCAGACGCCCATCGTTGCAAACACTTTGGTGCTCAATAGTGGTTGCTGTGCTGTCCCTGTGATCTAGCAGTTCTGAGCACAGGTCGCATCTGGTGCAGCAATGATGCTGCTTCTTTAAAACCCATGTTAGATATCACAGTATTTTCCTTGTGCTTTATTCCTGTCGGTGCAATAAGTGGTGGATACTTCTTTGTCAACAGTATTTAGCTCCAGGGCATTATTTTCCGTTGATGGAAGGAGAAAAAAAAAAGAAAAAGAAAAAAAAAAAAGAAGCTTGGACACTGTCTACAGAGCTTTTTTATATTACAAGATTCCGTCGGACTGCAAACATCAGTTAGAACTACGACTAAAGAGAAAAAGGTTGATGTAGAACATTCTTTGATTTATTTTCCAAACTCAACTTGTGTTCTGTTCCAATTTTTTTCTTTTGCTAGGATATTGTCTTTCTGTGAATTTTCTTCACCAGATCAATCATGTTGACAAATCGGACTCCTGGTCTTGGTTGTTGCATGGAAAGGGAAGCAGGGCACACCTCTGTCACTCTTCATTATTAGGTGCAAGTTGTTTTGCTGCCATTCATAATGAAAATGCCAATCAAATCATATCCCTTTGTGACACTGCAGTTGTCAATCATAAATCCCAAAATTATTTTAGATTCTTTGACAAATGTAGAAGTGTCAACTGCAAATCTCCAGTTGTTGATAGTTGTAATATGACACTTGTTTCACAATATCCAATAAGACAGATGACTTGGTGTATTTGTTTGTCTAGAGTTGAGAAGTCACTGATTGGCTTTGTTATGTGGCCAGTCAGCATTGTCTAAACCCGACCAGAAGTTTACTATTCTTCAAGACAAATACACTTTTTAACCTAGTTGATGCTATAATTGATGTATGCAGGCAGATCTTAATGGTTGGCGAGACTGTGATGTCGTCCCAAGTCAGAGGGGTTAGAGTACGACCTTTGTTGCTCCCTTCTCTGCTGGGAGCTACGTTAAAGGGGAAGAATAGTGTCCAAACCATATTTTGTAAGTTGGTATCCTTATATATATGTATATTTATATATATATCTATATGTGTATATATATATATAAATATCAAAATTATTCAGTAAATCATAAATTAAGAAGAAATTATTTTATATGAATCAAAGTATATGATACTAAATGTATTGCTCTTGTAACTGGTACTGGTAGCTTGCTTCTTTGTATTCCTTCATACATAGTGTGTTTGAATGTTACAACTATTGCACAATTTTATGGTAAACTTCCAAAGATGTATTTAGGATTTATATTATGAGCTGCATACATGGGGTTTTTAAAAGTATATATATTTTTCTTTTCCTTTTTCTTTTTTTAGCATTATATTTTTTTGGCCAGAGATTAATAGATAGGGATAAGTTTTGGGTAATTAGAGTTGTCCTTATAGAGAGATTTTTTATAAATTTGATTAATCAAATGTACTCTCTCATGGTGACTGGAAGGTCAGTGAGACTTATTCCATTCCAAGTATCAGTTGTGTTGAAGGAACTCTCGGAAGAGAGCTGGGAACAGTGTAAAGCTAGAGTGTGTCAGCTGAAGAGACTAAGGTATAGGAGTGATAATACAGCAGGAGGCAGGCTGCTTTTCTATTCATTTATTTTTTTTAATTCTCTGTTTTCACAATTTACAGTGATGCTGTAATTATGGTTGTCATCCTTTTTTCTGAAAAACCGGGCATTTATGCTGTGATACCAACAAGGACTGTTTGGAAGTCGATTTGCTTTGCTGACAACATAAACAGTTAGGGTAATCATGGTCTTGGTTAGGATCAACACATGATCTTGGGATGGAATCAGTCTCAGTGCAACCATCAATCAATCTTGTTATCTGTATTGTTCCACATGTGGGTTGGACTGATATCTCACTCGGGCTCTGCAAGGTTAGAGGGAGTTGTGCAACACTAGAGCGATGGCAGGGGCCATGATGGTGTCTAATAAGGCAAAAAAATATATATTTAAAAAATAATTAAACCAGGTTGTTGTTGATGTTGTTATAAAGGTACATAACTTGGATGATATGACAGTTGAGTGAGATGATTGTCTGAACTCTTGTTAGGTAGGGGTTAGCTTTGCACTATGTTGATGTTTTGTTCACCTTAGTTCATGTTTTGGCCCTCAAGTATATTTTTGGATAAGTGACAATTAGCATTCTAAGACTTTGTGTACCATAGCCTTGTGTAAGTATATCATAAAAATATTCTTTATACATAATAGTACTATAAGTAAAAAAAATGTATACTCTCATATTGCCTGCAGATATGAATTATATTCTATATATTATATTTTGTTTTAATGTTTCCATAGTTCTAGCATTCATCAAGTGAAAGTGCATTTATGTAAAGGGAATGTGAAATGTACATCAAAAGTTAATATCATGGGAACAAAACACACAGCCTCACTCCACAGGCTGCTTCCTATGACCTGTTCCCAGGCAGGTGTGCAGAGAATCTGAGATACTTTTGAAATGGAATGCTGGTGTCGGGCTTCAGAATTCAGAGGGTTTTTCTAAGACACAACTTCACCTGCCTCGATTCAGCCTCTGTTCTAATATCACTTTGCCATTCCAAAATAAACTATACATGGAAAGGAATTCTCTTTCTCACTTCCTTCCTGCAAGTAAACTTATTTTGCTTTTGATGCTGAGTTTCTTTAGTTAGTGGAAATTCTTTTCTTAAAAAGGAAAAAAATAAGATAAAATATCAGTCTTGCATTCCAGTAAATTAACTAGGACTGGGTTTGAATTAAACATTTATTATAATTTTTAAAATATTTTTTATTTCTTTCTCTTGTCAAACCTTGACTCTAGTAAGTACTTAGTAAATCTGAGTAATAATTTTGTTAAATGTATTCAATTTGACATCTGTTTGTGTGACTAGAACTTGTACTTGTTTACTGAACACAGATTATCCTAGCTAATCTGTGAGCTAATTCTGTAGATCCTTCCTCACACTGATTGATGCCTGCAACCAAATATGAAAAATCACTGTAAAAATAGAGGGCATTGGTGAAAAGGTTCTGTGCAGCTTAGTAATTGTTCTTCACCAAAAGATGCTTCTATTTTTTTCTTGAAAATAAGATGCAAGGAAAGTAACAGAACTAGACAGAACTGAAAAAGGAGACAGACTAAAACCAGCATGATCTCCACATACAAAACACGTGGTCTTATCCAGGCCACAGAGGATGGTACATGGACAGTGTTTCATACGTCAATCATGTAAAAGGCACTTGACTCCTTGCTTCCCTTCTTTTCTTTCTTTTTTATTTTATATGTTTATATCTCTCTCTCTCTCTCTCTCTCTCTCTCTCTCTCTCTCTCTCTCTCTCTCTCTCTCTCTCTCTCTCTCTCTCTCTCTCTCTCTCCCACTTCTACTACTCCTCCCTCTCCTCCTCCTTCATCTCCTTCTCCTCCTCCTCCCTCTCTTTCTCCTCCTCTTTTTCTCTTTCTCTTTCTCCTTCTCCTTCTCCTCCTCCCTCTCCTTCCACACCCACTTCCTTACCCTCTCTCCACTCTCACTCATTATCTCTATCGCTCTATCTCTGTTACTCTTGTTTTTTTCTCTCACTCTGTCTCTTGCTCTCTCACATATCTCCCAGTCTCTCTGTCTCATTCTCTCATTTCTATTATTTATCATCTATATTCATCTTTCTCATCTCTATTCACCTCTGCAATATCTATTCATCTTTCTTTATTCAGCTCTATTAATTTCTCATCTTTATTCATGTCTCTCATCTCTATTCATCTCTCATGTCTATCTCTCTCTTCATGTCTCACCTCTCTCCTTTTTTCTCATCTCTCATTTCAATCCATTTCTCTCATCTCTCATCTTTAATCATATCTCTATCCATTTATCATTTCAATTCATCTCTCTATACTCTCTCATTTCAATTCATTTATACTTATCTCTCTCATCTCTGTTAATCTCTCTCACTTTTCTGTCATCTCCATTCATCTCTTATCTCTCTCTCAACCCTATTCATCTCATTTCTTTTCATCTCTTATCTCAATTCATATCTCTCACTTCTGTCTCATCTCTATTTATCACTTATTTCTATTCATCTCTCATTTCTATTCATCTCTCTCACTTTTCATTTCTCACCTCCTTCTCATCTTTGTTCATCTCTCTCACCTCTATTCATCTCTTTCATATCTATTCTCTGTCCCATCTCTCTCTCCTCTCTCTAATTCATACTCATCTATCATTTTTGTTAATATTTCTCATATCTTTTAACTCTCTCCCATCTATTTCCATCTCTCTCACCTTTGTTCACCTCTCTCACTTCTTTCTCATATCCATTCATCTCTCTCACCTCTTTTCATCTCTGTTATCTCTATTCATCTTTGTCAAGACTATTCATGTGTCTCATCTCTGTTCATCTCGATTCATCTTTCTCATCTCTATTCATCTTTCTCATCTCTATTCATCTCTCATTTCTATTATTTATCATCTATATTCATCTTTCTCATCTCTATTCATCTTTCTCAACTCTCTCATCTCTATTCATCTCTCATTTCTATTCATCTCTCATTTCTATTATTTATCATCTATATTCATCTTTCTCAACTCTCTCATCTCTATTCATCTTTCTCAACTCTCTCATCTCTATTCATCTTTCTCAACTCTCTCATCTCTATTCATCTTTCTCATCTCTATTCATCTCTCATTTCTATTCATCTCTCTCACCTCTTTTCATCTCTGTTATCTCTATTCATCTTTCTCATCTCTATTCACCTCTGCAATATCTATTCATCTTTCTCATCTCTATTCATCTTTCTCATCTCTATTCATCTTTCTCATCTCTATTCATCTTTCTCAACTCTCTCATCTCTATTCATCTTTCTCATTTCTGTTCACCTCTCAGTAATTTCGCTCTGAAGATGTTGATGTGTGTTGCCTCCAGGAAGTCAGAAGTGATGCTTGTTATACAAAAATTACAGGGTACACATATGACAAACCTAATATTGCTAATCCTTCTGCAAGAGGACTTGGTATTTACATTAAGAATGCTATTCCATCAAAAGTTATTGGTGACAAACGTGACAACACCTGCTGAATATCTTGGTGTTCAAATATTTTTTGATGATAAAGCTATGACCATCATTAATGTATATAACCCACATGTGATACCTAAGCCTCCTGACAGTATGATACATATTGATACTGTCTTATTGTGCTAGGATTTTAATGCTTATCCTCCTCTCCTGGGTTCTAAGGGCAGCACCATGGGCAAAAAGGGTAAGGTTTATTATGACTATTTCCAAAACACTAGTGACACTATACACCTATTATGCCCCATAGAAAAGACTCATTACCTAGGTGGCAAATTAGATTGTATGGCTCTATACAATCAGCACACACTCCTAAGCACTGCAAAAGTCATCACATTCTTAGTCAGTGACCCTCCCATTTTGCAAAAGAAGCCCACCCCAGCCACACCCTCGATATCATCTTGCTACTAAACATTGTGACGAGTTTATTAAAGAGTTGCTGGTATGAAGGCTATACTCCTACCAACTTTGATCATTTTAATGAAACTTTCTGGCAACAAGTTAACCAACTCCAACCCAGAAACCCTGTCAAACATAGGTCTCCATCTTCCAGAGGCAAATGAGCCACATCACCTGAAAAAATATCCAGAAATAAAGCTACTAAGAAAGCTTATAAGGTCTACAGTAAATCAGCTAAAGCACTTGGGAAGAAAAACTTATTTAGCTAGGGACCTTGTATTCTATAGTAAAGAGCTTAGTGAGGTAATGCAAAAACGGGAAGAGAGATCTTATGCCTGGGGAGAATCTCTCATCTCTATTCATCTTTCTCAACTCTCTCATCTCTATTCATCTTTCTCAACTCTCTCATCTCTATTCATCTTTCTCAACTCTCTCATCTCTATTCATCTTTCTCAACTCTCTCATCTCTATTCATCTTTCTCAACTCTCTCATCTCTATTCATCTTTCTCAACTCTCTCATCTCTATTCATCTTTCTCAACTCTCTCATCTCTATTCATCTTTCTCAACTCTCTCATCTCTATTCATCTTTCTCAACTCTCTCATCTCTATTCATCTTTCTCAACTCTCTCATCTCTATTCATCTTTCTCAACTCTCTCATCTCTATTCATCTTTCTCAACTCTCTCATCTCTATTCATCTTTCTCAACTCTCTCATCTCTATTCATCTTTCTCAACTCTCTCATCTCTATTCATCTTTCTCAACTCTCTCATCTCTATTCATCTTTCTCAACTCTCTCATCTCTATTCATCTTTCTCAACTCTCTCATCTCTATTCATCTTTCTCAACTCTCTCATCTCTATTCATCTTTCTCAACTCTCTCATCTCTATTCATCTTTCTCAACTCTCTCATCTCTATTCATCTTTCTCAACTCATCTCTGTTCATCTCTCCTTACCCATGTTTATCTCTATTCATCTTTCTCAACTCTCTCATCTCTATTCATCTTTCTCAACTCTCTCATCTCTATTCATCTTTCTCAACTCTCTCATCTCTATTCATCTTTCTCATTTCTGTTCACCTCTCAGTAATTTCGCTCTGAAGATGTTGATGTGTGTTGCCTCCAGGAAGTCAGAAGTGATGCTTGTTATACAAAAATTACAGGGTACACATATGACAAACCTAATATTGCTAATCCTTCTGCAAGAGGACTTGGTATTTACATTAAGAATGCTATTCCATCAAAAGTTATTGGTGACAAACGTGACAACACCTGCTGAATATCTTGGTGTTCAAATATTTTTTGATGATAAAGCTATGACCATCATTAATGTATATAACCCACATGTGATACCTAAGCCTCCTGACAGTATGATACATATTGATACTGTCTTATTGTGCTAGGATTTTAATGCTTATCCTCCTCTCCTGGGTTCTAAGGGCAGCACCATGGGCAAAAAGGGTAAGGTTTATTATGACTATTTCCAAAACACTAGTGACACTATACACCTATTATGCCCCATAGAAAAGACTCATTACCTAGGTGGCAAATTAGATTGTATGGCTCTATACAATCAGCACACACTCCTAAGCACTGCAAAAGTCATCACATTCTTAGTCAGTGACCCTCCCATTTTGCAAAAGAAGCCCACCCCAGCCACACCCTCGATATCATCTTGCTACTAAACATTGTGACGAGTTTATTAAAGAGTTGCTGGTATGAAGGCTATACTCCTACCAACTTTGATCATTTTAATGAAACTTTCTGGCAACAAGTTAACCAACTCCAACCCAGAAACCCTGTCAAACATAGGTCTCCATCTTCCAGAGGCAAATGAGCCACATCACCTGAAAAAAGATCCGGAAATAAAGCTACTAAGAAAGCTTATAAGGTCTACAGTAAATCAGCTAAAGCACTTGGGAAGAAAAACTTATTTAGCTAGGGACCTTGTATTCTATAGTAAAGAGCTTAGTGAGGTAATGCAAAAACGGGAAGAGAGATCTTATGCCTGGGGAGAATCGAATCAACTCCACAACTCCTATGAGTAATGTGTGGTGGGAAATCAACAAGGGGCAATACATACAATGTAACTCTCCACCCTCATCCAGAAAGGGTAGCTTTGTCACTCCTCAGTAAAAGCTGCC